GGATGCACAATCAGTACGAGCACAAGTGGGCGCACTGGACGGAGGGTGAACTTACCAGGATGGAAAACGTAGCTCAAGGGGCTATTATCAAGAATCATGACTTTGCTGAGATCGGGCTCGACCTGAGCAAGGTCCTTGATGTAAGCCCCGTTGCGAACAGTGCAGTGCTGTCGATAGTACCTGCCTGCAAAATACTTGCGCTCCACCTCCAGCCAGTCGATGACGGGATCTGCGTATTCCTGTACCGAAGCGGTGAATATGATCAGATTGTACCACTTACTAACCTGGTCGTCTCGTTAGTGTGGCATCAGGCGTGCCTGGCTGGTGTGCGTACCTTTTTCAGAAAATCGTCGCAATACGGCCGTTTGTGAACATAGTATAGGAGCGGCACTTGGGGACCAATAACCTGCCCGTCGGCGCCGACAGATGCCTGGAGCTTGACCTCTACCATGTGGCCCGTCTGGAAGCGACCGCCGTTGACTATGCTGTGGATCAATGTTTCGTCGAGATCGATGATGAGCGTCTTCTGGTGCGGTCCGACAGCGGATACGCCTTTAGCGGAGTACGAGGGCTGGCGGCGTGGCACGAGGGGGCGCGGGGGTTGGGGCGCTCGTGGGAATTTGGTCAATTGTTTCGAAGACGCGGTTGCCGGCCCAGTGGGGGACTTGAGGGAAGCGGCGGCCTCGGAGGAGACGGAGTTACTTTTGGACGATTGGGCCTTCTTCGCTGCCTTGCGTTGCCTCAAAGCGTCCTCATTGTGATGTAGCGTGATGCGTATCGACCTCTTGGCCGGGGCGATTTCGTCTGCTCGTGCGGTTGCGCTGGATTTGGAGCGGGTGTGGCGCGACGGGCTGTCGGTGTCTGGATCGCGTGTAGGAGATCGCTCGCTCTCCGAGTCGGACGTCATGGCGGTCGAGGTTGATGCTATCGACAGTGATCGCCTCGTGGGTTGTTTCATGACGGGCTGCGCGACACTCGAACTGCGACTCTTGCGCGTGCCTTTCTCGCTACGGTCCGGGGCAGCCGAGGCTCGTGAAGCGTGCGCCGCAACCTTTTTCCGACGTCCGCGAGTGAATGTCCGCGAGATGTGGTAGATCGGGGCGAGAAAGGAGAAGTGGCCATCCTCTTCGTAGTAGAAGGCGGCCACCAGGCATTGCCCCGTATAGACAAAGGGGGTTGCGAGGACGCCCACGACCGCGACGATGCCGTCGGATATGCGCGACGGATACAGCCATCTCCTTCGCCGCTTCGTGTCTTCGTAGGGGCCCTCCTGGGTTTTCTCGAGTAGAGGTGTCTTTTCGTCGTATCCGGATGCGACCGCTTCCGTATTCGAGGAGCCGGAGCCGGAGCCGTCGCTCCTGTCGGCGCCCATCTTGCGCGTCTCTCTCTGTGCAGCTATTGCACTCGCATCGTCAGCGGGAGATGAGAGCGAGGGCCGAGGTTGGAGAATGGCGAAGGACTGTGGGGTAGCCTGGTGCTGGGTGCGCTGATGCTTATGTCTGGGATGACGGTAGGACCTCCGTGACGGTGATGGTGGGGCTGTTGGGAAGAGTGTGCACAGCGACAGCGCAGTCAAGATGCTCGTCCAGCACTGGCGAAACTAGCAGCAGGCCGAGGCGTGACTTTGTCGAGAGAAGACGGGTATGCAGCTAACCAGAAGGTTGGGGACATGCCAATGACGAACCGCTGGAGAGCCCGTGCCCAATCGGAACGCTCAAAGCTCAATTTAGTTACGACTCACACATTCCCTCCACCAAGTCTTGAACAAGCAACGCTCCCCAACAGTGCCTTACAAACAAAACACGCGTGGCCGATACTTTGAACCCCTAAAATTATATTGGAAGTCTGGAACCCTTTCAAACGCACACAGACACCCGCAGAGTCATCCAGGAACAACCCCACCACCCCACATAACTGCCATATACCGTTCGAAATCTTGGGACTCTCGAGTACGAATCTGCAAATATTCCCACGATGCAGGGCGCGACGGTACAGGCGCCGGGTCTGTCAACCTACCTGAAGTCACTAAAGAGTACTCCAGTAGATGCTTCGGTGGAGCATTTCATCTCGTGAGATACGCCTTTCCGCGCAGTAGCGCAACTACAACTAATATCCCTACCTCAGACTTCTCAAACGGCGACAAATACGGAACTCAAGACCATGCGCCATTGCGACGACAGCCCTTCTTCTGCGCGTGGTGGGCGAGTTCAAAGGCAGGGATGCCGCCAAGCTCATTGAGCGCATAAAGCAAGTCGGCAGGCGGTTGACATCAGCGCAACCACACGAGGTGGTGGTGGGAAACATCGTACGGCGCGTACTGGGACTGGTGCGCGAGGTGGTCGACGAGCATGCCGAAGGGCAAACACCAACAGGCAGCGAGCCGGGCTACTCAACACCACATGCACACGCGCAGCACGACTCTCTCCACAGACCAGCGCTCAACTCGAGCATATCCACATTCAGTCCTCTCCGACATGCCGTCGCCGAACCCATGCCCACGAGCGTCTTCACCGACAACGCCTCCGACGTTAGCGAACCCTCGAGACGGCCCCCGTTGCTCACCTCACACACCTCGTACGCGCCTACCTCGTCCGCTCCCCTCGTCCACTCGCTCTTTGGCCTCTTCTCCCAGCCAGCAGATACACCCTCGACTACAAGCACCCCTACAGGGCAGGCGTCGCCAAACGGCAAGAGCACGCTGACGGCACTCAATCTGGAGCGCCTCGAGGGCATCAACAAGAGCCAAAATCTGGACCTGAAGGGCGAGGTCATGGAGGGCATAAGAGAACTTCAGGACGAGCTCGAAACCTCAGACAAGCAGATTGCCGAAGTCGCTCTCGAACACATCCACGCCAACGAAATCATCCTCACTCACACTGCGTCCACAACAGTCCAGAAGTTCCTTCTGTTCGCCGCACGAAAACGCAAATTCACCGTCGTACACGCCGAGACGTATCCCCACGACCACACTGCCACGCATGGCATCCTTCTTACAGGCAAGAAGCGAGAGGCGAATCCAGATGACGACGAGGATGACGACAAGTGGAAGCCCCTCACGGATGCTGGTATCCAAGTCTACGTCATCCCAGACTCCCATGTCTTCGCCATAATGTCCCGCGTCAACAAGGTCATTCTGGCGACCCATACCGTATTAGCCAACGGCGGTCTGGTAGCCGCAGCTGGAGCACACATGATTGCAAAGGCTGCAAAGGAACACCAGACACCTGTTGTCGTGCTCAGTGGCGTATACAAGCTCAGCCCGGTTTACCCATTCGACATCGACGAGCTGATCGAGCACGGTGACGCCGGAAGTGTAGTCCCCTACGACGACGGCGAGTTCGTCGACAAGGTCGATGTTGAGAACCCACTGTACGACTATGTTCCCGCAGACCTTGTGGATCTCTACATCACGAACCTGTAAGTCGCGATTTGAACAGCTCGATGCATTGGATGTAAGCTAATGTATTCTAGTGGCGGACACGCACCTTCATACCTCTACCGCATCGTAGCAGACCACTACCGCACCGAGGACATCACCTTGTAATTCAACCATGAGCCACGGCGTTATGATACCAACAAAAGTTAAGATGGGAAGCAAAGTGCGCACAATAGCCCATGTTACATCATCTAGAGCAGGAGATTCTGCGCTTGCAATCATGCAGTGGCCGGACTCAATGAACATTACTACCAACGTATCACCCATTCAGCTCCAAGCACGTATGCGACCATATCCATCATCGCCGACCCGTGCACTCGCCCTCTGCCCGACCAACTAACATCTCCTACACACCCTTCTTCACAATTGGTCGCGCCTTTGTGCCCCTCTGCACGCACCCGTATCCCGCAGATCACCGACCCAATTCATTGGTCACCTAAGCTCTAGCAGTGTGCCCTTCGGCCATCTGAAATCAATGGTTTTTGTCAAAATTACCACGTTGGGCAGTTTGACGGTCCGTCAGGGTGGGCCGGCGGGGCGGAAGGGCACAGTGGCGTTCTTAGTAAACAAGGACGGAGTCGCGATGTGCCCTTTGAGCCCTTGCGCGTGGGACTCGTCTTACTTTTGTTGAGATTTGGCCGTAGGCGCAGACACCTCATACCCAAAGCACCTGATGGATTAGGCTAGTTTGTAGAAGCTGTTCAATTGTTCTTCGCGTATTCTAGCTCCAGCTCCCTCAAGCTGGGGTGTGTGGAAGAGGGGTCGATGTGACCAACCCCTCAACTGAGCCTCTCTATCGCCATCTGCACTCTGGATTACGTGTGCACATCCATCTCAATTGCGCGCGGAGAAATAACAGCATGCGACAAGTGCTAGCCGTTGCCCTCTTCGGAAGCTCCTCAAGGTGATAACGTAGGGCTTATCGTGGGTGCCGGGTCGGCTGTTGCTACATTACGTATGCGGGCGCGCATCTTGTGGAGCTGAGTTGATAGAGTGACACTCTGAACTTGACCGCCTGGCCGCAGAAGCAGTGAAGGCGTCGTCAAGGTGCATCATGTCGTTTCTCGAACTTGGGGGGTTGCATGTGTTTGTTACTGGGGCCGCCGGAGGAATTGGTAGTGCGATTGTAGATGAGTTCCTAGGTATGTCATGGTCTTGTGCCTTTGATGGTTGTCGGAGAGTCTTGCACGTCGAGTGAAGTTTGCAAGGCCCATGGTAGGCTCAGGGTCTCTGTCAAGTCACCCTGCAGAGGAAGGCACGCTCTAGGGTTTCGGCCTACAAGACAAGGGATCAACACTATCATCTCGATTGATATTTTTGCTCTCATGCAACCGTCACTAACGACTGCATAGCACAAGGCTGTAAAGTCACTGCACACGATCTTCGCCCAAATCCTCTCGCCTCAACACACCCCAACCTCCACTGCCTACAAGGCGACATCAGTTCCGAAGCCTCCATCCAGGACTCCATATCCCAAGCCATCAGCCAATTTTCGCAGCCTATAAGCATCCTCTGCGCCAATGCAGGCATCACAGATGAATCTTCCAGCTATCCTATCTGGGATATGCCCAGTGAGCTCTGGGACCGCACCTACGCTGTCAACGTGCGTGGCACGTACCTGACCATCAAGCACTTCCTCAAATCCATTGAGAAGTCACAAAGTGATACTGGTAAGGAAGTCGAAAATGTCAGTGTCGTTGTGACGGGGTCTGAATGTGGAGTCTTCGGTCAGGCAGGTCATGTGGAGTATGCGAGTGGGAAAGCAGGGCTACAATACGGTCTCGTGAAGACAGTGAAGAACGAGATTGTTAGATTAAATAAGAGCGCGAGGATCAATGCCGTTGCGCCCGGATGGGTGGAGACCAAGTTGATTGAAGGGAGGTTGGACGACCCAGTGGAGAGGTGGAGGGAGGCGGAGGCTACGTGAGTCTGACGCTCATACTGACTCCGATTTTTTGTTAACGATTGCAGTGTACCACTCAGGAAGATCGCTCAACCTACCGATGTAGCGAGAGCAGCCGCTTTTCTGGCAAGTCATCGCGCTGCAGGTCATATCTCCGGACAATGTATATCTGTGGATGGCGGTATGGAAGGTCGTATTGTGTGGTCCGAGGAAGAAGTTCGCAAATCACAGGCAACTGCTGTCGAGCCCGAAACACCATCTCTCAACGCGACTGGTGAGGCCGAGATATTCGGTACCGCAACCGAAGGGGTGTCCCTTGCTAGCAGGACCCCCTCAGCAATGGCTATCCCAACCATGTCATCTCTCGGCAGCCCTCAATCAACACAGAAGCCGAAGATCAAGATCTTGCTCTCCGTAGATTTTGACGCAGTATCGGGCTGGCTTGGTACTGGCCAACATCCCGATAATAACCTAGCGGACTACAGTACTGGCTTCTTCAGTGGCCACGTCGGAGTTCCACGACTACTCAAGCTCTTCGCGAAGCACGGCATCGCGAACAAAGTAACCTGGTTTGTGCCTATGCATAGTGCAGAGTCTTTCCCAGAAGAGTTTGCCGCCATCAAGAGCAGCGGCGCGGAGATAGGCTTACACGGGTATTGCCACGAAGGCGCCCCTCAGCTTACGCCCACCCAAGAACGCGAAGTCCTCGAGCACTGTATAAGTCTCTACCAGGAACTATTAGGAAAACGTCCACTGGGCTACCGCGCACCGCTCTATCAACTCCGCGAAAGTACCGTGGAATTATTAGAGGAGTACTCTTTCCTCTACGACTCCTCACTCTCCCACCACGACAGCAAGCCATACTACCTCCCCAACCTCCCGCCTATCAAAGCGCCAAAGTACACAGAAGAGGCTTCCGCGAAAGACTGGATGAAACCCCTGCCTAAACCCAGTGCGCCCACAGCCAAAACTCTCGTCGAGATTCCGGCAAACTGGTACACGGAAGATATGACGCCGCTCCAGTATCTTCCCAATGCACCCAACTCGCACGGCTACGTCGACGTTCGCGTTATGGAGAATATGTGGAAGGACAAGTTTGAGTGGATTAGGAGCGAGATGCTTGAGAGTAATGGAGAGAAAGATGTGGTGGTTTTTCCGTTGGTTTTACATCCGGATACCAGTGGCATGGCGCATGTCATCGGCATGATTGAGAGGGTGATTAAGTGGCTGAAGGCGTGGGAAGGAGACGTGGAGTTCTGCACTTATGAGGAGGCGGCTGGGGAGTGGAAGGAGAAGAATGCTGTTGAATGAATTGAGACACTTGAACTTCGGGGGCGTTCGTTCGTTCTATGAATCCTTGCTCATCTAATCCAACTTCTTCTCGTCATACAATCTAATCACCCGTCCACCCTGCTCCGCCGCTTCCTCCCACGGTTCATCGCCACCTACTCCGATACTCTTGACGTTCAGCGTGATGAGACTAGAGCGGAAATCCGATCGTGCAGTTAGTCTAGGCGCCGTCTCTACGTTTTTGTAGCCCTCGGATGGCGTAACGAGCACTACTGTCTTATCCTCAAGTGTCTGCTCATCTATAATGACGAGTTCCGTGCCTACAATGCCCTGTTCAGTGCCGTCGAATTGCCACGCGAACTTGACTAGGTCGTTCAGTCCCCAGTTTAGGAACGGGTAGGAGAGGTTTTGTGATACTGGGGCGCGTGTGGGTGATGTGAGTTTGGTGATGTCGGTTATGTCGACGAGAATGGCTGGGCAGTATGGATCAGCATGCAGCTCGAGATTGTGCTAGATCCGTTTACCTATGTGAGTGCACTCCACCGCCTTCAGCTCGGGCGCTTCGAACGCCTCAGTGAAGAACTCGTTAAGAAGCTAAAGATAATGTTAGTTATCTGCATCTTTTCCGATATTGGATCGAGGTTCTAACATCGCGAGGTATCTTCGCCGTACAGAATATGGGGATGGTGTTGTCCAGTTGGTCGTTGTTCGCCATAGTGCGTGCTGCTACAGGTTTGGATTCACCTAAACTCGATCAGTTCCGACTTCGCTCTTCTGTCTGCCTGATCTATATCTTCGACGGTCGAAAAGCCATATTTGGGGATTTCGGAGAAGGAAAGTCGATGTGTGTTTGTATGCAGTGGACTATATTCGTTGCTATTGCTTACGGCTTTAGCCTAAAGTTGGACGATCGTGTACATAGCAAGTGATCATCGATTGCCGCGACAGTCAGGATGTTTTGTATAATCAAGGCGATCTGCATTTCCGTGACCTAATGAGTAACTGAACAGCATTCAGGCCGAACGCTATCGCTATCGGATCGTTACGAACAAGCCACTAGTTCTCACTTCAGACCACCTTGTCCTCATATCCAGCATCTTTCTGGCGTTAAACACCATACCAGAAACAACTCCAACTGCTTCGCATACGCCTAAAGCACCTGATAGAGATGTCCGTGACCAGCGTCAGGGTAGAGATGCAGTTGTGCGTTCTTGTAATTCTGCTGCACGCGTCTTCGCATTTGTTTAATCATGAACTTTTCATTGGTCGTCTGACATACTTCTCTGCACCGCCTCTATCTCAGACTATTTACCCAAAGAGGCTATCCTAAGAGTAGGGCTGAACGCGGACGCAAAGGTTACTCTTTCCAAACGCCCACTTCAGAGTGTCGGCGATTGCACGGTAGCTGTATCCCCAACAATTGTCGGCATCATCAATATGATAGACTACGAGAACATTCTTCAGTGATGGAAGAAAGCCGATGTACATGCGGTCTCCACCCAGATTCCTCAGAGTCTCGTAATTGTAGATATCCGCGAGATGGCACCATCGCTCCACCTCGTAACCGCGCATCTGAATCGAGTGGATTGAATTCCAACGCTCTGAGTTGAGGACGAAATTAAAATTCTTCAACTGTTTTAGAACAAAGGTGCTGACTTCGAACACGGCCATTGTGTGGAAAGTTGAAGATGTTTCATGGCGGAGCTGGCGGCAGGTAGACAATAGTGCTAGACTTCCTCGGTGATTATGAGGAAGAGCGTATGGACGCGGCGCTCTGATGCAGACTTGAGTGTTTGAGCACACGTAGCCGTAGACCTTGTTGCGGAGTTCGGCGGGGAGACGAAGTAGAGGTGAGTCGCGCTGGTTTTTGGTTGTCCTGGGAGATCAGTAAAGGAAGAATCCCGGGATTTGGTTTGCTTACTTGTCCTCAAAGATACCAGAATATCTCATGATTGTGGATTAATGTGGGAATGACGTGTTGGTCGGTACGTCTAAAGGTCAAGAAGTGTAGGACCTGGGTGGAGACGAGCAAACGGAGCTAGCGCAAAGGCAATCAGTCTCACTCTTACCCTTGACCCCGGTAACACAACTATAATATACGGAAAGGACCAACTGAAAGAACACCAACTGGAGAACTGTTGCAAAAATGAACAAAATGGCCTCTTTGAGAGTTTGCTCTGAGGATACTGCCATATCATGCGCGAATACTTAGGTGAGACAGAACGAGCCGTGAAAGTAAACATAACATGCGGTGATTCTCATGGCTATTTGCATTCCAGCCGCAATGTTACTACAGACTATCTTCTTCGAGCTATATCCATGCCAACTACCTAGGCAGCCGCATCTCTACCCTCAATAGGCTATGTATAAGCACTTCACCTGATTGTCCATGGCAGAAACACCCCGTATCCTCTTCTACCTGTTCCTTCCATTCCCTGTACCGACCACTATCGCGTCGCACGGCTGGCATCACGTGCCTTGCTACCTCTTCTTTCAGAGGATCAGTGAGTCTACTGATGACGTTATCCCTGGAGCACTTTAGGTGGACATATTCGATTTCGACTCGCAATCTTGCCATTGATGCAAGAGGTAGACTTCGGAGAAACGGCAGCGACGGCTTGCACTCGACATTGATATACCGATAGGGTGCCGGAACTCTGAGGTCCATCCTGATCTCGACTTGTCGCAGTGCTACCATGCGTGGGAAGAGCCTAGCCAGGGTTTTGTACTGCATGCTGTCAGTGCTGAACTGCAGAGTCATCAGCGAACCTTCTTCTTGATACACGCCCTCCATCTTCAGGTTCATTGCCGTTAGAAATCTCGCACGGGAGATTGTAGGATGCCTGCGTTTGCGATGCGTTTGCATGAGACCTTGGGCGTGCAGTACATCGTAGCGAGTATCCATGTCCATGTTGAAGCGAGCCAGATGGTAAAACTGCTCGGTAGCCTCCCGGTACATTTGCTTGCTCGTGCACATCCAAATTATCTGGCCTTTGTATGTATCTCGAATAAAACCCTTCTGGCCCTGGTATGTTACTCTGAGATGAGCTTTACCAACCATGAAAGCGTCGCATGAACTCCCAAGTGCGTGACGATAGATCTCATTTCTTATCTCACGCGGGAGAATATCAAAGAAAGGACAGCTTGTATCATGTGAGGGATTCGCATCGACCGAACAGTTCTTGGTGACGTGTCTGCTTGGTAGAGTGGGTTTGGTCCTTAAACGGCAATTAGCGTTCCCGTCGCTAGATGCGTCGCTCAGCATACTCAGGGTGTCGTCTAGATGGTTCAGATTAGCGATGCATCTTAGCTCTCGTGTGCTCGGCAAGCGTTGGAGTTCCAGAGGCATGTTGTGCTTCGAGGTGGTTGAGGAGGTGGGATGTTTCTACGCAAGAAGCGTGGATTAGGGCTGGAGAAACTGAAGGGAGATAGGCGGGTCGCGTTACGTAGGAGCAGCAACAGATATTCTTTTGTGAAGATAAGTAAAATCCAAAAGATGGGGATGGAGAAGATAAAGCTCTCAACAGGACAAGAGATTAGACCAATTTATAGTTCAGCTTCTGTGCGAAGCCCCAGGCTGCAGTCCCAAAAATCGCTGGTAGTTTTTGCAATTGCTGTTGCTGTATGGGACGCGATATCTGGATCAATCAGGCGCCAGCTAGGCCTCGTCGGAAGCACGTGAGACCGCATTTCGTTGGTGGAGAAGATCTCGAGAGGTAGCAAAAGGTTGAGCCGCCTATACTGGATGGGAAATTGCTCAAGCCGAAGATTCTTATAATGTAGGTAGAGAATTAAAGACATTACTATCATGGTTGCAAAGTCGAGTAATACAGTCAAAGATGATGCATGCAGGTCCAGCGCGCTAATCCCAGGGTCCAGGTCCAGATCTCCCCCACAAACGTCGTCATCCGTTCCGCCGACCCAAACAGTCCAACAACCCGGTTGCCTTGCCGCACGCGCGCAGGTAGCCACGAAAGGCCACCTTTCAATCACCCGGCCTCTATTAACACATAATCCCGTCTGACCGTTCCCTCCACAACATACAGTCAACCCCTCGAATCCTTCAAATCTCGTACCAACTCGCGCGAAAGACACAGAAAAAGATGGAGAAGCTCAAGGAAGCCGAGACAGTGGCAGCGCAACGCTTGCGCAAGACGTTCAAGTACCCGTCAGAATCCGACGATGAAGATACCGTAGAAGCGGGCATGGACGAACAAGGTACCCTTCGCTCTCCTCCATGCCCAATCCCCGCCGTGCTGACAGAACTACACAGACCGCGCAGCCCTCCTCCAAACCCTCAGCACACACGACACATCTACGACGCACACATATACGCTCTTCCTCCTCGCACTACCCTTACTCCCCACGCTCCTTTACATCCCGCGGCTTTTCGCCATATCCACTCTCCCGACCAGTCTAGTCTCTATCGCGAGTCTGCTAGCAACAGCGTATACGTTATATTTCCTGCCGTTACCGCCGACGCAGATGGAGCCAATCGATGGTGTGGACGTCACACCCTCAACACTCCAACAACCATCGAAAGGGAAGGGGCAGGCTAAGAAACCTCTGGGTGGATATGGAATTTACAACAAGACACCGTCATGGGAACAACCGACTGAGAAGAGTGTCAGGCGGCCTGTACCGTACATCTCGGAAGAGGCAGCGGATAAGATAGCGGATTCTATTGTGCCAATCAACAGGGCCGTGTGTGGGCTATTGGCGTTGTATGAGGTCTGGCAAGGGCGTGGCTGGGGTGAAGGGCTTATGGTGGGAGGAGGCTTCTTGCCGGGCGTGATATGCATGATCATCCTGTGGGCGAGGACGGAGTTGAGAATCATCGACATGGATACGTTGGAAAAAATGAACAAGGGTGCTGCACAGGGGAAAGCAAATTGAACACAGATATGCTGCGAGTTTTGGAGTTAGGTCACGGGACGGTCATGATTAAGATACCCATCCAGGAATGCATGATCAGTCTTCTAGTTGTAATAACGATATCATTAGGTTGTATGTATGGGTGAAGGAATATGTCCGTGATCAATGTCATGTCGTGTCGAATGCAAAAGTCCAACGCTGCGCTGTACTGTGCCGAACTGTACCAAAGATGCCAAACCAACGCCGCGCTCGCTGAAAGTTACAGATTCCAAATTTCTCTTTTTGCGTAGCCAGCACTAGGCGTGTCATGGGCTAGCTTCTAGGACTTCAATGTCCGAGTCGATGTCTATGCGTGTGATGTGCTCGAAGAGGTTTGAAGTTGATGGAAGAGGTTCCTAACCACGCTTCCAGAACTGGTACTTCTTCTTTTGTGGCTTCTCGTTCGCTTCGCCGGCGACCATGTCGGTGTCCCTGATGCCGCCTACCTCTGTGCCGGCAGCGTCCATGTGGTACGCCTTCTCGTTTCCTCTCTTCTTGCCCTTCTTGACATCTCTCCTTGAGGCGCAGCAGCAGCAAAGTCCCATCTGTACAAGCCAGGCAAATATGGCGAAAGCACTTGCCACCCACATGAAGGCGAAGAGGGTGGTGCCTATCTCTGCCGATATGTTTAGCTCAGCCACACCACCGATAGTGTTGCGGAAAATGATGAACATGACGGTTGCGATGACAGAGGCGACCGTTACGAAGAGGGCGTTGAGGAAGGCGAGGATTGCGACGACTAGGGTGAGCCAGCGCGTGTAGATGGAGATGGGCATGACGAAGATGAGGACGAAAGACAAGACTGTTGCGGTCAGGAAGAGACCGAACATCCAGTTGGAGACGAGATGGATAAGGTCGAGAATGTCGTTGATGTCGGCGGGAAGGTTGACTGTAGACATGCATGTTAGTTACTCTGTTTCCAATGCACGATATCTAAGAATCGGGACGTGAAGCAACTTACTCGAAGCCCCGGAAAGAAGCTCATTACGCAGGATTTGCACAGGGTTGAACCAGTATAGCGTCTTTGGCTCACTGCAGAAAGTGACGCCCTCACCCGCGTATCCCTCGCAGAAACCCCATAGCCCAACTTGATAGAAATCATGCAGTCCGAGCGTTTGCGCGATAGTGTTGATAAGAGCGAAATTCGGTACGCTGGCAGGCACGATGTGGCTCAGGTCGAGGCGAATGAAGTACCAATCCTTAATAACGGCCTTGTTGCGTACACCAGAGATGTTGACAAGGATCAGGAAGATGAGTGTGATGAAGAGGAAGAAGGATGTGATGAGCGCCCATATCTTGCGCGTGCGAGTTGCGCGCTTGATTTGTTCTTTGCTGAGGTCTGGGGCGGTTTGCGTGACGGCGGTGTCGTCCGACTTGCGGCGGCGCGAGAAGATGCCCATGATGGACGATTCGGGGATTTCCAGGCGTTGACAGGGAGAAGAAGCAAGGCGTGCTGCAGCGGAGGATTGTGAGAGAAGAAAGTGAACAAGCAATGACCGGGTCTCAGACGAACGACGTAGAGAGCGAAGATCCGAAACGTTTCGTCGATTGAATGTCCAGGCCAAGAATGCCTTGAATCCGGGGCAACGCAATCTCCTACGCGCGTGCAGCAGCAGCAGTCGTGTATTTTATGGAGCCTGGTCGAAGATCGCGAGCTATGACGTACAGGACCCCTAACAGCAAAACTAGACACCGCAAGAAGGCGCTGGCGACGCGGCGCCCTTCTCACCAACGACACTCATCGGCACTAGGCCACG